GAACCACTGATCTAGTCTAACCCCCTACTCTAAGCAGAACCACCCCCAAATTATATCAGCCCAGCCAAGGCTTTGTGTAGCCGTGTCTTAAAAACCTTGAAGGATGGGGATTCCACAACCTCTCTGGGTAACCTGTTCCAGTGTTTTACTACCCTCATGGTGAGAGAGTTTTTTCTAATATCTAACCTAAACTTCCCTTGCTGCAACTTAAGACCACCGCTCCTGGCTTTGTCATTTCCCACCACTGAGAACAGTCTAGCTCCATCCTCTTTGGAACCAGCCATCAGGGAGATGAAGGATGCTATTAAATCCCCTCAAGTCTTCTCTTCTCCAAACTAAATAAGCCCGGTTCCCTCAGCCTCTTTTCAGAAGTTATATGCGCCAGCCCTCTAACCATTTTGATTGCTCACTGCTGGACTCTCTCCAATTTGTCCACATCCTTTCTGTAGTGGGGGCCCAAAACTGAACACAGTAAGCCAGATGTAGCCTCACCAGTTCTGAATAGAGGGGAATAATCACTTCCCTCAATCTGCTGGCAATACTCCTATCAATGCAGCTCAGAATGCAGTTAGCCTTCTTGGCAACAAGGACACACTGTTGGCTCATTGTCCACTGTAACCCCAAGGTCTTTTTCTGCACAGTTGCTGCCCAGCCAGTCAGCCCCCCAACCTGTAACAGTGCCAGGGATTGTTCTGTCCTAAGTACAGGACTTTGCATTTGCCCTTGTTGAACCTCATGAGAGTTTTTTTGGTCCAATTCTCTAATTTGTCTAGGTCTCTCTGAATCTTAACCCTACCTTCCGGTGTATCTACTACTCCCCGCCAGCTTAGTATCATCTGAAAACTTGCTGACGGTGCATGCTATGCCATCTTCCAGGTCACTGATGAAGATATTGAACAAAACCAGCCCCAGGACCAACTGCTGGGGCACTCCACTTGATACCAGCTGCCAACTGGACACTGAGCCATTGACTATTATACCCTCTGAGCTCGATGATCCACCAAGTTTTCTATCCCCCTTACAGTCCATTTATCCAACCTGTACTTCCTTAGGTGCCTGTGAGAATGTTGTGGGACACCATATTGAAAGCCAGTCAAAGTATACTATACCCACTGGTCTTCCCACATCCACAGAGCCAGTCATCTCATCATAGAAGGCAATTAGGTTGGTCAGGCATGCCTTGCCCTTGGTGAATCTATCCTGACTGCTCCTAATCACCTTCTCCTCCCAATGCTTAAAAATGGATTCCTTGAGTATCTACTCCATGATTTTTCTAGAGACTGAGGTGAGGCTGACTGATCAATAGGTCCCTGGATCCTCCTTTTTCCCTTTCTTAAATATGGGCACTATATTTACCCCTTTTCAATTGTCTGGCACCTTTCCCGATCACCGTGAGTTTTTGAAGATGATGGCCAGTGGCTCTGCAATCATATCAGCCAACTTCCTCAGCACCCTCAGGTGCATTGCATCCAGTCCCATCGACTTGTACACATCCAGCTTTTCTAAATAGTCCCTAACCTGTTCTTTTGCCACAGTTGGCTGCTCACCTCCTCCCCAAACTGTGCTGCCCGGTATAGTAGTCTCGGAGCTGACCTTGCCTGTGAACACTGAGGTGAAAAAGGCATTGAGCACTTAACTTTTTCTGCATCCTGTCACTTGGTTGTCTCCCTCATTCAGTAAGCAACCCACACTTTCCATGATCCTCCTCTTGCTTCTTGTTATCATCTCCACCTGAACCATCCCAGCCAAGTGTTTGTCTAACCCGCACTTAAAAACTTCCAGGGATGGAGATGTAACAACCCAAGTAATCTGTTCCAGTGCTTAATCAAAATTTAGAATGAAGCTGAACACAGTCGGATAGTTCCATCTCCCTTGTTGTAATTTAAGACTGTTACTTCTTGTACTGCCCCCCACCACTGGCTTCAGAGAACAATCAAACTCCATCCTCTTTACAACAGCCCTTCCTGTATCTGAAGACTTATTATAGCCACCCCCTTCTATTTCTCCAAATCAATAATCTCGGCTCTATCAACCTATTTTTACGCCAGGTTTTCTAGAACTTTAATCAGTTTTGCTCTATTCAAGCGCAGGGGTGCTCAAGGCTTCGCTTGCACAGCCAGTGCATCTGTCCCACTGGTTCCTTACAGCATGAGAAATTCAGTGGGAGACACCTGTGGCAATTAACACTGCCAGTCCTGCCCAACTTCCAAACTTCCAAGTCCATTGTGGCTGGACCATGCCTCCTTCCACCCCACACACCCAGATTGGGGCTAGGCTATGCCATGCCCTTGCCCCCCATTTAGCTGGATGGGGCTGGGATGCCCCCTGCCCTTTCTGCATAGCCAGTTCAGGCCCCACTGCACCTGCCCTGTGCCCCAGATTGGCCCCATCAGTGGAATCTTGTCCATGGATGGGCTGGACGCCCATCTAGTCCATAAGGCAGAAATCACCCCACCAGTGGTGTCTGCGGGAGCTCCCAGTCGCTGGACTCCTGGCACTGTGCTCCTGCTGCCAGCGGCGCAGCCGTGCCCCCTCAGCCGCCTGGAGCACGTGCCGTTCATGGCAGAAATGTTGAGTGCTATTGCTCTAGTGGCTACTGTCCATCTTTCTTCAAGTGCAGTGCCCAAAACTAAACAAAGTGCTCCAGATGAGGCTTCACCAGTGATGAATAAAGGAATCACTTCTCTTGACTTGAAGGTGGTGCCTCTGTTGAGACTTCTCCACATGCTATTAACTTTTTTGTGCAATAATATTGCACATTCAATTAATTCAGTTTGCAATCCACTATAAACTACAGGTTGTTTTTTGCAGTACTGTAGCATAGCTAGTTGCTTCCATTATATATTTTGAACTTGATTGTTCTGTCCTAAAAGCAGAACTTTTCATCTGCCCTTACTGAATTTAATCTAATGCATTTCAGACCAGACCATGTATAGCCTGGTTAATCATATCATCTAAGAAAGTACCAGAAGATACTCAGATAGTTTGATGACAGGGCTGGTTCAAGAACCTAGGCACAACTGAATCACAGTGGGCATTCTACCTCTAGACCACAGGTGGGCAAAACAGCTGGACTCCATTTCCCAGCAGTCTGCCTGGGCCTTGTGGGTAGCGGATTGCAGCTCTGCCCTGGCTCTGGACCACACTGTCACTGCCACAAGATCCTGACCGCAAGGCAGCTTCCTGCCCAGCCATGTGCCTTGCCAGTACTGCTGGGGCTGGTCTCCATGAAAACCCTGACCCTGCATCGTCACTGTCCTGCTGTTCCTGGGGTCTCCATGGAAACTGGATGCAGAGATGCAGGCAGGGGCTGCTGGGAAATGGGAGTCCACCACAGGCTTGATCTGGCCCACGGGCCAGACTGTCTGCCCCTGCTCCAGACTTAGAAGGAACATTAAGTGAGAGAGAGGGGGAGAAGGAGAGTGTGTCATTTGTGGAAAAAGGAAGGAAAAGAAGCACGAATGTGAACTGGACTGGTAGAGTGCCAAAAGCTAAAAAAAAAATAACGTAGGTTATCATGAAAGAATTAATGAGTAAGGATGAAGAAAGTCTCGATATGAAATGGGGTACAGGTTGTAGCCACGTTGGTCTAAGGACATCAGCAGATATGAACTGTCTCTTTCCTGGATACGAAATGGAAAGAGACAGTGTCAAGATTTGTTATAAAAATATAGAAAAGGGTTACAGCAGTTTTACTGTTGTCTGTCAGCTTTGATGATCTAAAGTCCATTCCAATATGCTGGCCCTGTTCTTATATCACGCAGAGCAATCCAATAGACACCTATTGTTGCAGTAACAACTTTGATCCTATAACAATTAGTGAAAAGTATGAAGTTGAGCTTCATACTGAAAAGATTTCTATGGTTCCTAATTTTTTTATTCTATATAAAATAATGTAATGCTGCCGAGAGTGACAAGCATGTTATGTTGCTGCGCAGAAACTTACAGGTATCCAGGGTACATTTATAATGCCCGCTTCTAAGAAGCGGACTGATACTTATAAAGATGATGGAAATAAACATTAAGTTCAGGTATAGCTGAAGTATTCCAAACAGTCATCATGCTCTATAAAATCTTGTTAAAATGGGTCCTGAGCTGGTTTATTCATTTAGAAGCCTGACTGAAACAGCATCATCAAACAACATTACAAAATTTATTACTGCAGTCAACGTTTCATCTCAGCCTTTAAAAAAAAGAAATCAGTTAGCAGAACTAAAAAATCCTGACACCTCCATGAACAATGCAGGGCTTGAATTTCCTAGTACGACTAGTTATTTGGCAGAGTGAATCAATTCTTTTCTAATTTTTTTTTAAAATCCTTTCAGACAGTTAATGTAAGGATACAGTATTTTCTCCCTGACACTAAGAAGAACCATTTTTTACTTACTCTACCCAAAACAATATATTTGTGACAAACTAGAGTGAACTCTCTCCTTGCCTTATGCAGCTGGGGAACAAAAATTATACAAATAGCAAAGGTATATTTTTGCAGAAAACCAATCCAAAATTCCAACTGCTTGAATTAAGGATGAACTTCAAATGACATGGTTTTAAAAAATGAATTGCATCAGTGTTTCTAGCATTAACAGTAACACAGAATGCTACCAGACTAAAATACCCCAAGTGGAAGAGGAAGTTGGGGGGAAGAAAGAATCCTAAGGTATAGTCTTAAATGTGCCTTACAGTTCACTTGATCTCATAATAAGCTATTCACAAGTTCTCTGAGTCAGTAATTTTAAATGACTGCTAGTCAACAGATTATGCATAGGCAAACATGTTATAACTTTGAATAGGAATCTTTTCTACAAGTCTGAACAGTCTATTTCCTCCCACAGGAGACAGCTTTTAATCCTCAACTTTTACTGGACTTGCCATTTAAGGAAAGATTCATTTACAGCTGTGGCTTTTGGCACAGACAGATGTTCAAAATACACTATTACATGTACTGAACAGAATCTTAAATCACAATCTTTTTTCCTCTAATAGCTACTCCTACAAACCTGTTCAGAAAAGGATCAGAACTATTTGTAGTCATTGTTCTCAGTTCCTGAGACATTCCAGGAGACGAAACTGGATTTTGAGAACCACTGTCTTGTTCCATTGTTGGAAGTTGGCTACGGAGAGCTAATTCCTAAAAAACAAGAAGTGAACACATTAGCAAGTTCAATGAAATACTTCAGGCTCATGAAATATTGTGATGTTTCCGGCTGCACACACAAATAACTTACATTTTTACATACTTCAAGTTATTGTATGTAAACAGAAATACATTAAGTTTTTGAAGTCAGCAATAAACCCCACAGAATAATTGTTCTGTGCCAACAAATTAAAGTACAGCCGATTGTTCCAATTAATAAGGAGGCTTCGCTGCAAATATTTTAAAGTAAATGTATTACTACAATACAATACCCAGATTACCAGTTGGGCTGCTCGTAAACAATTTAACCAAAGAACTTCACTCTTCTTCCGGTTTGAAAATTATTTATGAACAGAGGTTGAAGTAATGTTGTAGCTGCGATGGTACAGGAAACATATGAGAGGCAAAGACTTTGGTGATATCTTGTATTAGATGGATTGTATAGTTGAGAGAGATATTGAACAAACTTTCTTGCAGAAACTGCCCTTCCTCAGCTCTCTTAACAGCTTAAAACAGTTCAAAACTGATTTATGAACAGACTGATTTTTCATAATGGTTCAAACTACTACCTTACCTGAATAAAACTGCCTGTGAACTGCTGGCTGACTGCTTGTTACTCACTAGCTGATTGGTCATTGGGTCCCATTGTATACCAATGTATGCAACTGTGTGTACATATGCAATCCTAGATGTGAAAATTCTCATCTTACTTTATTTAAACACTTCCCTTCCCTGTCAGGGGTCTGCCCAGGGTACACACAATTCCTAACTGCAAAGACTGCATCTATACATCCTTCCGTCTCTCTCAACTGTGACCTCACATACAGTTTTAACACAATTGCCCAACACTGCATGCATCACTGTTGCAAATAAATCAGCTATTGCATTGTGGATATACATTCCCAGTTCTGACTGAAAGGGATGCAGACAGACATGTGCAACATTCTCTGCACTAGAGATTTAGAATCATGGAAAATGAAGTTTGGAAGGGACCTCAGGAGGTCATCCAGTCCAATCCCTGCTCTAGGCAGGACCATCCCTAACTAGATCATTCCAGCCAGGCATTTGGTCGAGCTGGGCCTTAAAAACCTCCAAGGATGGAGCTTCCACCTCCTCTCTACGTAACCTGTATTTTACTACCCTCCTAGCAAGAGAGTTATTCGTAATATCCAACCTAAGCTTCCCTTGCTGCAACTTGAGACCACTGTTCCTTGCTCTGTCATCTGCCACTACTGAGAACAGTCAAGCTCCAGTAATAGTTTGTGGTGCTGTATTAAGCACCTATACTGCATCAAACATAAGCTGGTTGTCTTTCCAATCAAAACGTATCCTCAACCTAAGAGAGAAAGATTATAAGACTGGAAGGGACTTCCTGGGTCACTGAATCCAGTCCCCTGCTACTGCATTCAACAGCAAAAAAACAACTTTCATAAAATGATCACATTCCTCCTTAAACTGATTCAGGTCATTGTAGAACCTCCCAGAATCAAATGGTTATAAACCCTTTTTTCCCTCAGGCAAAATGAGCCTCTCAGTTTCTCTTTTGTGTTTGCTCCATCCACATCTGCAAAATGCAATCTTATTCCCTTCTTAGTCTGTTATGCTAAACTGAATAAGAAAAGGTACAAAATTACAAAAACAAGAAGAGTTTCTGTAAGTACACCAGCAACAAGAGGAAGATCAGGGAAAGTGTGGGTCCCATGTTGAATGGGGGGGCCACCTAGTGACAGATGGTGCAGAAAAGGCTGAAGTATTCAGTGCCTTTTTTACTGGTCTTCCCAGGCAAGATCAGTTCCCAGATTACTGCAGCAATATGGGGAGAAGGTGAGCAGCCAACAGTGGCAAAAGAGCAGGTTAGGGACTACTTAAAAAAGCAGGACATGTACAAGTTGGTGGGGCTGGATGTGATGCACCTGTGGGTGCTGAGGGTGTTGGAAAATGTGAATGAATAGGCATTGGTCATTATTTTTGAAAACTTGTGGTGACAGGGAGAGGTTTCAGATTATTGGAAAGGGGAAAATATACTGCCCATCTTGAAAAAGGAGGAGGAGGATCCAGGGAACTACAGACTGGTCAGCCTCACCTCAGTTGTTGGAAAAATCATGGGGAGTGGGTCCTTAAAGAATGCATTTCTAAGTACTTGGACGAGAAGATGGTAAATAGGAACAGTCAGCATGGATTCACCAAGGGCAAGTCATGTCTGACCAACCTGATTGCCTTCTATGATGAGATGACTGGCTCTGTGAATGTTGAGAGACCAGTGGATGTGGTATACTTTGACTTTAGCAAGGCTTTCAGTATGGTCTCCCACAACATTCTTGCAAGCAAGTTAAGGAAGTATGGACTGGATGATTAGACTGTAAGGTAAGGGGATAAAAAAACTGGCTGGATCATTAGGCTTAAAGGGTAGTAGTCAGTGGGGCTTGATCTCTAGTTGGCAGTTGAAATCAAGTGGATTGCCCCAGGAGTTGGAACTGGGGCCAGTTTTGTTCAATATCTTCATCAATGAAATGAAAGATGGGACTGAGTGCACCCTCATCAAGTTTGCAGATGACACCAAGATGGGGGGAGTAGTAGATATGCTGGAAGGTAGGGCTGGGATTCAGAGACAGAGAAACTGAAGGATTTGGACCAAAAGAAAACTCATGAAGTTCAGTAAGGACAAATATAAAGTCCTGCCATTAGGAGAGAACAAACCCGTGCACAGCTCTGCAAAAAGACCTGGTGGTTACACTTGACTATAAGCTGAAAATGAGCCAGCAGTGTGCCCTTGTTGCCAAGAAGGCTAACAGCATACCAGGTAGTGTTCTCGTCGATCCTCCCAGTCTCAGGCTATGGGCTGAGAAGGGACAGGAGGATCTATGTGGTCAACCAAAGACTGCAGCGCTGGTGTCGTCAGGAAGGCTTTGGCTTTCATGACCACAGCCCGCTCTTTGGCGAGAGAGGCAGCGAGCTGCTGGGAAG